GCAACCCACTCTCGCACGCGGGCTCGGGTGGACGGGCGCACGCAACCCACTCTCGCACGCGGGCTCGGGTGGACGGGCGCACGCATCCCACTCTCGCACGCGGGCTCGGGTGGACGGGCGCACGCAACCCACTCACGCACACGGTCCCCGGTGGACAGCAGATACTCATCCTTCAAATTTATGCTGGCATTCAGATCATTAGACAAGAATTCTCCAGTAAAAGTCAACAGAAAAGAGAAGTTCATAAAGTTCAAAAAATAGAAAGCAATAAATGTTATGTAGTAAAAATGCATTATTTATTCTAGCAGTTGGTTTAATTTGGAACATGTCTCTAATTATTCCAAAAAAGTTAGTTAGAAAAATATCGCAGATTATGACAACTAAAATTTTATCGCAACTTGGGAAAACAGAACCAATATAGTCAATGACAGAGATAAAAACAAATGGAAAAAGTACCCGTATCATTTTTGCGACAGAATACTAAATGACATAGATAACAAATCAACAAAGATGCCATTACTAACCTGATGGTCGAGGAAAGAAGTTCAGGACGACCAGGACAACCAGACCTCAGGAATTTTACAGCGAAGTTGGTGGGACACATCTCTGCCCAAAAGAAACGATGTGAGATGAAAAACAAAAGAAAACAAAAAATAATAGAAATAGAACAATGGGAACATAAACGGAACGACACGAAATAAGTCCAAAAAATAGGGATGAATTACCCGGGAAACAACGACATTGTCGTACGTACACCGTCGCCGTCGAGCCCATGGGAAAGTCGGTGGCCATCGGCCTGAATCTGATCGCGCATGAGTCAGGTACCCATCACATGCCTCCTTCCGCGCGACGATATGCATCCCAACACCGACCTTCTCTTCCCCGAACACCTTGCCATTCAAATCTCCGGCCGATCTGGAGATTGAAAATGGGGAGAATCGGTGAGATTTCGAAGAGTGGAATAAGATTGGCGACTCGATTTGCTCCGAAGAGAACAGCAGAGTGAGTAAGGTTCACGCATTTTTTTGTCGACCGACGCGAGGGAAAGATTTGGAGGCGATTCCAAGTTAGGGTTCTCCTTTCATCGCCTATCTGTTCCCGCGTTCTCACCGGATCGATAACTGAACCACGAATGTGAACTCTGAAGTGACGATCTGGGAGCGGGAACGGAAGAGAGCGAATTGACGCCAAAATGTACCGTTGCCGAATGTCCAGCCTGCGTGAAGAACAAGCCAACTAAATATTTAATATTTTAAGTATTTTAAATTTCAAGTAAAAACAGAATGGGCCGGAAGCAAGCAACCGGCCTGGCCCAACCAAATTTTGAAAATGTAGTCCACTATTCAGGGATTAGATCTCTACGGAGTATAAAAATAAGTAAATAAACTGGAATGTATTCAAAATAAAAATAATAAATACATAATTAGCTGTTTAATTCAAAAGGCACTAATAGTATAAATAATACTAATTAAATACTTCCTCTAAATATTTTTTAATAAGATACATTTTGGTTCACAACAAGAAAAGGCCATAAATTAGTCTCTATAAACTTTTTAAAATTATATTGATAAACTATCTGATACGTACTCAATTTTTAATAAAAATAATAAGACAAAATGATGTTTTTGTTTATGGGGTAAAATAGTTTACTCCATACGTTTGAAGATAGATTTATATTTGGTCGCTGACTTTAAAAAACCTATCCATGACCTTTATAAAACAATTATGAATGGTCATTGGAGCAAAATTTTGTAAACTTTATTTTTCACTTTAAATTTTAATGAATGTTGTAATATTCTTAAATTTTAAAAAGTTAATTTGTTTAATTTTGATAGGTTTTCATATACATATTTGTCTAATATATTTTGCATTAAAGAAGTAGAATAATGACAAAAACATCTATCAATATAATTTATTTAGTTAAATTTTACAAGTTTTAGTGAAGTTATTAATGATATGCACCAATCAAACATAATTTTGTACCGATCTTATTTGTATTAAATTGGTGAATTTTTTTAATTATTTAATTTATTTGTTGTCCATATCACTTGACAAACAAATATAAATTGAATAGACATAATTAAATGAAATTGAAAGTTGGAAGTGAAAATTCAAACAAGATTACTGGTCAAAGTGATTTATTTTCCCTGAAAGTTTTACCTACGATCCATTAAAAGGTATAGTATTTTTACACTACCATTTTTAAGTGTACCCTAAAGAATTATCATTATTATTTTTTGGGATAAACCCTAAAGAATAAATTATAAGTATTTAATATTGAAAACACGTCAAATACTTTTTTTTTTGCCGGGAAAAATGTTAAATACCTATACAATAGAATTAAATTAAAAGAATAAAGAAAAATAATTTACAGCTCAGATCCAATCCAACCCGAAACTCAAAATGACAGCTTTGATTGTTGACTTGGTCAAAATATTTTCTCAATCTCGCTGGCAATGATCTGTCACTCTCAGTAACGTAACGACTCGACCGTTGGAACTGCGCGCGCATTCGACTCGCACTGGTCTACGACGGTCATATTCGTGCTACTCATATCTCTATAAAACCCTAACTACGGTCTTATAAACACAATCGGGAGACGTTTCCGGAGAAAAGAACGATTGCCGTGACGAAAGGATCAGAATCGTTCGTCTTCTCTCTCTCATTCTGTCAATGTCTTCTCCTCCTCGTCTCTTAATCGTTTTCTTCCTTTGATATTTCATATTGAGTAATGGCGGCGTCTTCTTTGTCCCACATAGGAAGCGATTTTCTTTTAGTATTGCGAAAGTCGCGCTTCATCCATATAAACGGATGGTTGAGATCAAGAAATTTCGCTAGTTCCAATTGTTTGGGATTGGTAAGTTCATAATCTTTCATTTTCTTTTGCTTATTTGGTGTTACCTAATAATAATTTGGTCTATTCCGCTTACTAGGGTTTTTAATGGATGCGGCGATGAATGAGATCAAGACATCGAAAGGTAAAGAACCTCTATCTGACGGATTAAGCGATGAGAAGTTACTTACA